AAAAAGTGCAGTGGAAGAGAATAAGGAGCGTGGTCAAAAGACAAGAAGTTTGTGCTTTTTTTTTTCTTCTGTCAAAGTTTGGATGACACGCTGGGTAAAACATCAGATTAGGTAGACTGAAATCCACACCGATTCAACCATAAACCTCCGGGCCCATCTTCCACGTCCTAGGAAACGGCCAACGTTGCCTCTGGCGGTTAAAGCGAAATGATAATCAGGGCGAAGCCAAAATGAGATGGCATGAATTAGCATATTAACGAGGCTGCCATTAATATGTACAGGACAATTTTTAATGTTCCTGGCACCGAAGTGCCTTATGGTTTTCATTCCGCGGGAAAAGAAAGGGGTGGGGAGAGGTTGGATTAAACGAGACAGGAAGTTAGGGGAGAGGCATCACGGATGCACTGGGTTCTGGCATGCAAGATTCAAAAAATAAATAAATAAAAAACAAATTATCGCATTAAGCATATCAACATACCCATCACTGTAAGCACCGTCATGTCGGGAAGCGGTAAGAATGTCCATCTCAATGAAGTTGTCCTGTAATGTCTCTAGGAATGTCTGCTTTGGTATGTTTCTATGTACATGTGGAAACACGAATGAAGGCAAGTGAGACATGCAGCTATGAAGCGTGAGACGCCCTCACAAAACCCAACAAATGGTTATAAGTGTGGCTGGCGCATGGAATTAGAATGACGGCCCATCGGTCCGTATGCATAGCGCGTGGCAACACATAGAGGGTATACAGCGCTGGGAAGCACCCACTCCCGCCTTGACAAAAATCTACTTCTTGTGACCTATCGGACGCCGGCCCCTCCAGCAGTCAAATCAGAGGAGGAGGAGGAGATGTGGGAGTCAAGATCAGCATCAAGGCAACCTGAGCTCGGAGGGGGAAGAGGGAATGGAGCTGGCAGAGAGAGAGGGGGAGAGGGAGAGGGAGAGGGAGAGGGAGAGAGAGAGAGAGAGAGAGAGAGAGAGAGAGAGAGAGAGAGAGAGGCGGAGCCTGGGCCATCCATCAGCCCTCAGATGGAGAGTCAACAGCTCCCAGGTGGCTGATGAGGAATAGGAGGAATAGCTGGGTCCAGTGCCTGATGCACGGATGCACAAAAGGCAGAGGAGAGGAGAGCAGTGGAAATCTATGGGCCGGTCCTTGGGACGAAAGAGCCACCGCTGCTAGCGAAGCCCCACCCTAGCTCTGGGGATAAAAGGCAGGGGGCGCAGATGAATAGATGTAGCAGACAGCTATTCATCACCCTGCCGGATGGACTTGTTAGCCTGTGGTGAGAGAGAAACTTTTTGCCGGCGCTGCCAGCGCTCCTAATAAAGGAATCTTTTGAGTTCACTTCAGAGGGTTTGTCGTGTTTGGGGAGCGGTGAAAACACTATCCTCATACGCAATCACAGTGGAAAATATAGGCATCACAATAGGGGCATTCCAATAAAAAGCTGGTTGGCCCTCATACAGGTAGTCCAGTTTGTTTAGTGACCAAAGTTACAAGGGCACTGAAAAAAGTGACTTTCACCCCTTGCGATCGTTGCAGCAGATCCCCACGATCAGATAATCAAAATTCAGGCGCTTGGCAACTGACTTGTACTTAGGACGGTTGCTGTATCCCGGGGTCATCTTTTGCGACCTTCTGACAAAGCAAGTCAATGGGGAAGCTAGATTCACTTCCCAGCAGTGTTGCTAACTCAACAACCGCAGTGAGCGACTGAACCAATGTCGCAACAAATGGTCAAAACTCAATTAAAGACTGCCTCGCATAAGCAGCGGAAATGTTGGGCTCAATTGCTGTCATAAGTCAAGGACTGTCTGTAATTTTAAACACAGATTGCTGATCCTGGGACTATCTTAATGAAAATTGATAATAATCACACCTAGAGTAAGATCCCTGGCGACGCAAAACAAGGTTAATCTGGAATTTTCGGACATTCACAGAGCTGGATTGAGATTATTATCAAAAGGGGTAAGAAAGGGCCAGTGGCGATCAGATTTCAACAGACCTTCAACAGAAGTGATTTACCTTTATTTAGAGGTTAATCTAGAATTATCTAGAATTCTAATTATCTAGATAATTCTAATTATCTAGAATTACAACTTCGTCTCTGGGCATGCATTTTTTTTTTTTAAATGTAAGTTATTTTATAAGTGCCTTCAGATTTAATTGCTTTGATGATGCCAACCTAGGAATGCAGAAGCATTAGACTTGGATTATTCTGATGTACTGGACATCTTAATTTCATCCAGTTTCATCCTGGGAATGATTGTGGAGGCTTTTGTAAGAACACAGAATATGCCAATCAAAAAACATCAAAGGAACCTTCAACAATCTTCAATTCGGTCCCAACTTTCATTCTCTTTGGCTACCTTTTAAGTTTCGGTTCCAACTTGAATTGTTAATGCCCGAGGCAGTCTTCCAACATACTTACCTTCTTCTATCGGTGGAACTCATAATTCAATAATAAAAAAATAATAATTAAGAGTTGCAATTTGCACTCTGAGTTTACACAACAGCTCAAGAGACAACACAAACAATAAATGGAGCCAAAGGCATGTAATGTAGACAGATAACCAAGCAAGTGGATCCATAGAGAAGTGATTGGAATGGGTTGTGTCAAAATAGTCTTAACTGGGTTAATTGAAACCCTGACTGTTGGGCCCTTGCTGCTGTCTAAACTTGGTTGTTTGCTTGCAGACGTTGCATTATCCAACTAGGTAACGTCATCAATGCCAGCAAATCTGCAAGAAAGCAACCAAGCTCGGAGAATGCTGTCTTTTTCCTTATTTTTCTTTTCTTTTCCTCTTACACCTTCAATTCTCCTTGGTTTTTTCCTCTGTTTCCTTTTCTTTTCCCATTACAGGCAGTCCTCGACAGTTCATTCCAATGGCACTGATTCACACATACGACCATTGCAGCATTCCCATGGTGATGTGATCGAAATCTGGACGCTTGGCAACTATTTATGACAGCTTGCAGTGTCCGAGGGTCACATGATCTCCTTTTGAGACATTCCAACAAGCAAACTCCATGGGGAAGCCAGATTCACTTAACAACCGGGTTACTAACTTCACAACTGCAGTGATTCACTGAACGACTGTGGGACAAGGAAAGTCGTAAAACTCACTTACTTCACAACGTCTTTTCTGAAGAACTGAAGAAGCTTTTTGGATGAGAAGCGAAACGTCTTTGGGGGGAAAAAAAACCAAGGAAGCCCAGTGTCAACCTTGGGAGCCATATTTTACTTGGAAGCTTCGAGGCTTTAGCGCCTGGGAATTTGGTAGGGAGGATTTCTTAGTGAAGATTAGACTCAACAACATTCTTTCTTAGAAGTCAAGGACAAGTTGCCCTGCAACTGGAGAGGACTATCTGGAGGGATGATAATTTGATTGGGCCATGTGATGGACTGATGGGTGCAAGGGATGGATCAGAGGTGGTATTCAGCAGATTCTGACCAGTTCTGGAGAACCGGTAGTGGAAATTTTGAGTAGTTCAGAGAACCGGCAAATCCCACCTCTGACTGGCCCCTCCAACCCCATCTATTCTCCGCCTCCCGAGTCCCAGTTGATCGGCTGGGTCTTCTTTTGTTGCCCTGCACAGGAGAACGGAGTTGGAAAGCAGGTTAGTGGGGTGGGGAGGAGAATGGAGATTTTGCAGTATCTTTCCCCTGCACATCCACCAAGCCACGCTATGCCCACCAAGCCACGCCCACAGAACCAGTAGTAAAACTTTGTGAATCCCACCACTGGGATGGATCTTTGAATTTCTCTTGGGGAAGGGAAAACCCAGAACTCTGTGATTCAAATTTTCCTAGATGTGCCAATATGACAACTCTAATAAAATGGAACTTTGAGAAAATTTTTGCCTCGGAGTTTATTGGTTTGGAGGTTGGAACGCTGACATTTCAGCTGCCTTTTTTTAAAAAAAGCACCTTTGGAACAAGGTGACCGAGAATCTCCGTAGACATTCAACAGGCATGAGTTAGAATTAAAGAGCTTGACAAATGTTAAAATCAAAGCTAGCTGTTGTTTGCCTTCACACACTTCCTAAGAACCCAGGCAAAACTTGTCTGCCAAAATGGAAATCATAAAGAGGAATTTTTGATGGATAAGCTGCCAGGTGGCACAGCAGGGAGGACACAGGTGAAAATTTATCAGGAGTTAAGGATCCTGATCGCCTTGTTTGTAGCTACTGTTTTCAAAATGAAATTGTGCAATTTGGCAGGAACTTGCCGATATAAAAAAAATGAGATATGAATTCTGAATGATGTACACTAGCTTTGATGCAACCGTCAATAATGAAACCAATACAAGGAAATGAGGTCAGAAAACGAAAGAACTGGTGGGGAAATGTATGTATGTATGTATGTATGTATGTATGTATGTATGATGTATGTATGTATGTATGATGTATGTATGTATGTATTAAAGCAGAAAGAGGAAGAGAGAAGCAATTTCCAAAATAGCATTCTACACTACACTAGGTTGTTTTTTTAAAATTCTTGACAACTATAATCTTTTGGGAGGATCTGCTATTTCTGACATTTGGAAAAAGTTTTCCAAAGGGGAAAAACGGGGTCTTGGATGAAAATCCTGGTGAATTTGAAACTGTATTGTCCTACTGATGAAAATGTATCTGGATTGGGGTGGAGAGAGGCAAGGTTAGGTTTCAGGATGGAGGGTTGTGTGTGAATTTATCTTCTCTTCTACAGAGGTTGCCTGGCCTAGCTGGAAAAAAACTGCTTTTGGTGGCAAAGAAGTTTTGTAAGTTTTTTTTTGTACAGCTTTTTGAAATTTTGTTTTTAGATTTGTCTTTCTGTTATTTGTGGGCTGCCCCTGAGTCATTTTATCAGTTGAGATGGGCTGAAGCACATGAGCAAGCAGGAAGGAAGGAAGGAAGGAAGGAAGAAAAGAAGGAAGGAAGGAAGAGAGAGATAAAGGGAGGGAGGAAGGAAGGAAAAGAGAGGGAGGAAGGAAAATAAAATAAAGGGAAGGATGGATAGATGAATGGAAGGAAGAAAGGAAGGATGGAAGGAAGAAAAAGAGGGAGGGAGGGAGGAAAAGAGAGTAAAGGAATGGATGGGTGGATGGAGGAAGGAAGGAAGAGGAAGGAAGAAAGGAAGGAAGGAAGGAAGGAAGGAAGGAAGGAAGAGAGGGAGGAAGGAAAAGAAAGTAATGGGAGGGAAAGATGGATTAATGGAAGAAAGGAAGGAAGGAAAAGAGAGGGTGGGAGGAAAAGAAAGTAAAGGGAGGGAAAGATGGATTAATGGAAGGAAGGAAGGAAGGAAAAGAGAGGGAGGGAGGGAGGAAAAGAGATTAAAGGAATGGATGGATGGATGGAGGAAGGAAGGAATGAAGAGGAAGGAAGGAAAAGAGAAAAGGGAGGAATAGAACAGGATAGAATGGAAAATTAGACTAGACTAGATTTTATCCATCTCTGTGGGGAAAAAAAATCAAACTTTCTTCTATAGTCAAGTGTTTAAAGCTGGATTCATAATTACAG